GCCCTTTATCAGATGGAAAAATGCTTTTGAAGCTTTTGAAATACATTCAAAGTGCCAATACCATTTGTCAAGTGTCATGTATGCAGATAATTTTCTGAAAACGTGGAAAAATTCTATTCCTGATATTCAGAAGCAATTAGATTCGGCTCGTATCCAACAAATAAAGGAAAACAGAGCAAGACTAACTCCCATAATTGAAGTTATAAAGCTATGTGGTCGGCAAGAGTTTGCATTACGCGGAACTAACGATTATGGAGATCTCAGTAAGAAGACTGATCATAATGATGGTAACTTTCGCGCGATCTTGCGTATGCGTATGGAATGTGTGGATGAAAATGCCAAACGGAATTTTGAAGTATGCTCTAAAAATTCAAACTATTTGAGCCCTACTATATAAAACGAATTGATAGAAACTTGCGGCGAAATCATTCAGAAAAAAATTTTGAAAAGAGTAAACGGCGCAAAATGTTTTTCGGTCTTAGTGGACGAAACAATAGATATTTCGCAAACTGAACAAATGTCAATAAGTGTACGTTATGTTAACAACGACCACTCTGAGAACAACTTTGTTCGTGAGGACTTCTTGAAATTTGTTCATTTAAAAAGCACAACGGGAAGTCACATTGCGGAAATGATTCTCGAAACTTTGCACCATACAGGAATAGACATAAGTTCATTAATTGGTCAAGGTTATGATGGTGCCGCAGCAATGAAAGGAAGTTTTAATGGTGTTCAAGCAATAATTCGGAAAAAATATCCTGCAGCGTTATATATACACTGTTGTTCACATTCATTAAATTTAGCACTTCGACATGCTTGTGAGATCTCCCATATTCGGCACTGCGTGCGAGTAGTTAAAGCTGTAGGAAATTTTTTAAAAAAAGCAGCTAAAAATACACAGGTGCTGACTAGAAAAATTGAGGAATTATTACCTGACGTAAAATCGAGTAAATTGATTTCAATGTGCGCCACTCGTTGGGTTGAAAATCACGATGGTTTACTTCGGTTTAAAGAGATGTATATCCCAATCATTGAGTCTCTTGAAGAGTTGTTACTCGAACCCGACATTGAAGCTTCATCGAAGGCCAATGGTTTTTTGAAATCTCTTATACGCTGTGAGTTTGTTGTAAGCCTCTTAATGGCATCAACAATATTTGAACTGACATTACCTTTGTGTAAGATTCTACAGTCACCTAGCTTAGACTTTACAGGCGCTATTAAACATATTGAACTCGTTTTACAAGTTATAAAAGACCTCCGCGCAAATATTGATGGCAAATTTTCTAACATTTTCGAATCAGCGACCGAACTCCTTAAATCTGTAAATGAAGAAATAAACCTCCCAAGAATTCCTTATTCCACAAAAGACAAAGTAAATAGTAAACCAACAGATCCAAAAGCTTACTACAAAGTCGCTATCGCAGTGCCTTTTCTTGATGATATTTCCATGCAACTACAAGAAAAATTTGTCCAGCATAAAATTACCATCTCAAAATTGGCATGTTTTCTTCCCTCTATGTGTTCAAAAGACGATGTGTCTTTCAACGACTCTGACGCCGGCGAGTTAAATATTTTCAAAATTATTGACACTGGGACGATTGTAACAGAATTTTCTTTATGGAAAAAGAAATGGAGCCAAGAAGACCCTGCAAGTCACCCAACAACTGCACTGGAAGCTCTAAATGAGTGTCAAAGTCAACTTTTCCCAAACATTTTTTATTTACTAAAAATTTATGCAACATTTCCTGTCACTACGTGTACCGCAGAACGTTCTTTTTCGACTTTGAAACGTCTGAAAATCTTCTTGCGAAACTCTACCGGAGAAGAAAGACTGAATGGCTTAGCCCTAATGATTGCTCACCGCAGATTTGATCTGGATACTGAAGAAGTAATAAACGATTTTGCCGCAAAAAATACAAGACGCCTTAATTTTATTTTAGAATAAGCCCAGCAAAAACTTTTATTTTTTGGTAAGTGCTTACTTTTTGTATCGATGTGGTAACGCATTACAATACGCCTTAAGACAAAATTTTTCACTTTCTTTTTTTTTTTTTTAATCTCCCGCGTACCTCCAATGACATGCCCAGGTTAAAGTAATGTGTTCTGTAAACTAGAGGGTATGTGGTGAATTTCGAAAAGTGCTTACCAATCGCGATTCACCACATACCCTCTAGTTTACAGAGCACATTTCTTTAACCTAGGCATGTCATTGGAGGTAAGCGAGAAATTTAAAAAAATGCTTTCCCACTGCATTACCTGTAATGCAGTTGGTAAACGAGAAAGTCAAAAATTTTGTCTTCAGGCGTATTGTATCGCGTTACTCCATTGATACAAAAAGTAGGCGCCTGCAAAAAAAATAAACGTTTTTGCTGGGAGGTTAAATAAATTGGTTAGTATAGTATGTATTGGAGCAATAGCTTTACTCAAGGCACATTAAAAAGGTAGTATCAGTAGAGCAGCAGATTTGATTTTGTTTCAAATTATTTGGTCCCGAAAATGACAAATATTTTTAATTTATTCTCGCAAAAATTCTAAATTTTTAATATCTATTTGCATGTGAAACCTTTTTAAATACAAAATAAGTGATTGAATATCAGCTTTTGGAACGTTCGCCCAACTCAGCAGCACAACCGGTGATTACTGGGAAAGAAAGTTCAACATTTTTTATTTTTTTCCAATTTCCGTTTTTAATTATTATTTTATATTTTTTTGTATTTCACATGGCACGCTTTGATTTAGAAGAAAAAAATCAGAACAGTCTTTGACACTTTCGCTACCAGAAGCAACAACAAAATACACGCAAATGTTGTTTTCGCTCTAAGGCTACTACCTGTTTGATATGCCTTGGCTTTAATATTACTTTAATTTTTTGTTGTTTGTGTGAAATATTTTATTTTTATCAGTATTTTTTTTTAATCAAACTATGTTAAAATAAAAGTTAAAAAAATATATATCTATATTTTGTCAGAATCAAATCATTTTGTTTTAACTTGTTTTGTTTTGTTTTAAACTTAAAACATACAAAAAAAAACATCAATCATATAAGTACCAAAACAATTACGCACTTTTCAAAAGTATTATTTGCAACATAATGCCCCTTATCGTCTAAATTTTTTTCATCCGCCCGTATTGAATACACGGAAATCAAAAGTGAACCGGTTCGGATAAAATGAAACTCATAATACGGCTATATTCACGTTGAAATATTAACTCGAGTTTAACGTTTTGAGTGTATGAACAACTATCATGTTTTCTCATTGGGGTGTTTAATAAACTCATACGCGCTTGTTCTGAAATTCGAAACTTTGAAATCGACTCGATTTGCCAAATATTTTTTAATTACATCTGATGAAAAGAGTGAATATTCTAATTGAAAACCGTAAAAGAAGTAGCAGCGATATGAAATAAATCATTTTAATGCGAGACTTTTAAACTCTTGGGTTAAAAACCTCCGAAAAAATTATCGAAATCGAGTCGATTTAAAATTTTGAATTTCAGAACATTATTGATAGTTTAGTTTGACATTTGTTTGTTTATTTTTTATTATTCACATTTAGCCTGTTCCCGTACTTAGGATTTAGACAGAAATAGTCCGAAGTAGACGTAGTGTAGAATACCAACCCTTAAGCCATAAAGAAATAAAAATTTAGCTAAATAGAACTTTTCATGCTGATTTTAACCATACCAAGGTTATTTGGCGCAAATAAAAACTAAAGCCAATAAAAGAGTACAAAGTTTAACTTTTATATTTTTTATATTTATAATACCTAGGTAACTATTTGACCGATCACTAAATCATGGACGCTAATTTAAAGATAAAAACCTTTTACGCGACGTATACATTATAACCTTTTTGAAAACAAATTTCAAATAAACGCCATTTATAAAAAAAAAATTTATATAGTTTTTGTTTATTAGGTATGTATTTCCGGCTTCAAAATATAAAAAAGGGGGAAAAATTATGTAAACCAAGTGAAATACCTTTAGTTGACGTCATTCGTTTTTTAATAGGTTATGTTGTTCAGAAGATATTTATATTAAAAGAAAACAAAAAAATTAACTTTCACCATTGATATCTTCTTTATTTTTTACTTCTGCCAGATAATTTTGGTAGGGTTTAAATCAGCACAAACAGTTGCATCGAGCTACATTTTTGGTTTTTTCATAGCTAGATTGTTGCTGTTTTATACTTAAGTGCACGGAACGATCTCGCACTATTTCTGATATAACCCTGCAGTACGGGAACAGGCTAAGGCTTTCTGCACATTGGTCGTGCAATCATCGTATAATCATCGTTATCGGCATGATGCAACGATTACACTTCTGCACATTCGGTCGTGATATACATACGCGCCATTTTTTCACGCGTTGCTTAATTACAAAAATATAAGTAGATATTTTTTATTTAATAAATAAATTCAAGTGCCAAATAGTGGCGCTAAAAAACTTTACTAGTGACAGAAAATATTTCAGCTGTGGACTTCTTCAATTGAGCAAGCCAGCAGCGCTTTAGAAACATTTCTGCTCCCAGAACATTTGTGTGGGCGCTTGGAAACCAGCATCGCTTCAAAAACAGTTCTTCTCTCGGAACACAATTCTGTAGACACTTCCAAACTAGCTGCGCTTCAAACAGTTCTGCTTCCAGAACATAATTGTGTGGGCACTTCCATGCGCACTTCCAAACAGTTCTGTTTACATAGAATACTTTAGAATCGGTAAGTACGTACTTATATGCATTTGAAAAGCTTTTTAACACAATTTGTTAATGTTCCATGAATAAATTACACACCAAATATGTTTTTTAAGGTGAATCCTTGTCCTCAAGTGAAGATGAAATAGATGCATAAATGTTGTTAGCTCTCCAACTTCGACGTCGGCGAAAAAACATTCACAGGCGTTATTGGGTATATAAATATATTAAGAACAATAATCCCAATCGTTTATTTATCGCCACGAGGGAGCTTTCACAAGATGACAGCAAATTTTTAGCGTTCTATAGAATGTCGAAACCAACATTCCATCTCTTGGTATCCCTCGTGGGGCATTCCATTAAGAAGCAAAATACAAAGTTTAGGGAATGTATTGGGCCTGAAGAGCGGCTGTTGAAAACGCTAAGGTAATTATTAAATACCATCGTACTATACAGTGGACTTATACTACAATCAATAAATAAATACGCCACACTAAAGTTTTGAAACCCCTTTTTTGATTATACCATTCGCCCGATTTCAGTGAAACATGCACCGACTAGAAGGATATAACTTCCTCTAAAGCAGAAATGTTAAATCTGATATATAGGGGGCTTGGCATCTGACATACAGACTAAAATGTGAAAACCAATATACCTTTAAAACCAATTATACTGGGGACAGAAACTTGGTACGGATGCATAGATCGTAAATACCGACATTACCGTAAAATTGGGCGTGGCACCTACCCCACAAACTGAAATTCTCATATCGCTTATCTCTGGAACTGCTTCTGCTGGCGTCCTGATATTTGATACAACTGAATATGTTATCAATATTAAACTTATAACGAAAAGAGGCGGTCGAATTTTGAGCACAGGGCGATGCGAACAATCTTAAAGATCTTACAGTTTTAAAAATTAATCATATTTATTCTGCTCACGAGTGTACCTTTATTGTATTTGGTTTCATTGAATGCAGTGTGTAATTTAATTAAAGTTTTTTGTGTTTGCTTATGGAGTTCTGGTACCGCTGGGTATGGCTGTTTACATATAATTTAGTGAATTAAAAATAATACATAAAATTGTACTAGCTTTTAGGGGTTAAGTGTCGCTATTTTGAGTTTACACGTATTTACTTTGGCTCTTGCGAGTCTTGTTACCATACGTGTATTTCTTCCATATTGGCCGCCCTAGGCCCGGGCCTTAAGGGAAAATCCGCCACTGACTGTAGGCACACCAACTTCGCATAGGTATCTATGAGGAAAACTGTAGTACATAGTCTCGGAATTTCGAAAAAGTAGGTGTTATAGTTTTACTATGCAGTATATGGGTATACTATGAAGTATATGGGTATATACCCTTCTCTTTACATTCGCTTACTAAAACGAAATGACATTGAAAAAAAAAAAATAGTTAGAATTACATATTTTTTTATTACCAAACTTTTTTTTGTAAATTTTTACATTAAATTTTATATTTACTTTCAGGTATTTAGCTACGGGCTGTACCTTTACTGCTATTGCACTACATTTTCAGAGGGGTGAACGCACAATTGGCGTAATCGTGGAGGAAACCACGAAAGCAGTTTGGGATGTACTCAAGGACAAATACATGGCTATGCCCAAACTCGAAGGCTGGAAGATAATCGCCGACCGTTTCTACGAATTGTGGCAGTTGCCCAATTGCTTAGGTGCGATAGACGGAAAACATATCCGTATTAAAAAATTTCCGAATTCGGGATCTGCGAACTATAATTATAAAAATTACCCCTCAGTCATATTGCTGGGTTGTTCCGACGCAGATGGTTTTTTCACCTCGGTAGAGTGCAGTTTTGCAGGCCGAAGTAGCGATGGAGGAGTGTTTCGTATTTCTGAATTCCAGCATTGGTTGGAAAGAACATCAGATATACCGTCTTCCAAGGAATTGCCTCACGATGAGGGAGGAATAAAATTTCCATATTACTATGTGGCAGACGCAGCATTTCCGATAAAGAAAAACATTATGAGACCGTATCCCGAGCGAAACTTGGACAACAAAAAACGAATTTTCAACTATCAATTGAGTCGAGCGCGCAAAACCATTGAATGTGCATTTGGGATGATGACACAAAAGTTTCAAATCTTTATGACGCCCATTCGGTGCAGAAAATATTCAACCATTATATCTGTTGTGCACTGCGCTACCGTTTGGCATAATTATATTCGCAAGAAGGATGGTATATTATACACTACACATGATACCAGTGGCACCAACACACAGCCTTCAAATGTACATTCAGATATTGCCGCTACGGAAAATTCAAAAAAGTTTTGAGAAATTATCTTGCAAATTACTTTTTATTACCTAACTAGCAGACCCGGCGAACTTCGTCCCGCCCAAAATTTATGTTTTTATTGGAACATTTGGTCCAACGTTTTCGCCAGCAATTCACGTTCACGTTTGGTTTTGTGGTCGACAGAAAGCATATCCTCCATTGCCGTCTTAAATAACCTGACGAAAGCGTTATACCGGGAAAAAGTCCTTGCGGCTCGATAGTAAATCGCCCTTGAATCTGTATAGTATAGTTGGTGGCAAATTCTAAACTGGTGAGTATCATTGGTCCACATTCTGTTTAGTCACCGTAAAGCAAGGACCGCAATGGTTCTGATGGGTGATTTAACGGGAGTAATTTGACTTTGATCCCTGGTGCCTCCGAATCGACGATTTAGAGCAATAACTCGGCTCCAGCGCCACTAAAAATTATCATAAAAAAATTATCATTAAAATAGCTCCGGTCGTTTAGGAGGAGTTAAGCCACCAGTATAAGTCTTTTACCTACTAACACTCTTCGGCATTTTTTCCCATACAAAAAACTCACGCATTCGTTATACGAAGAAAATACGCAACGTCATCAGCGAAAAAAATTCTCAAAAATCAACGGTATCTTATAGCCATTAAAAACTTGCACTTTATGGTACTAAAATTGAGTGAACTACAAAACTGCATACTAAAAATTTGGTGCCATTTGAGGCAAAATTAACTAACAATAATGTTCTGAAATTCGAAAATTTGAAATCGACTTGATTTCGATAATTTTTTCGAAGGTTTTTAACCCAAGAATTTAAAAGTCTCGCATTAAAATGATTTATTTCATATCGCTGCTACTTCTTTTACGGGTGTCAATTAGAATATTCACTCTTTTCATCAGATATAATTTAAAAATATTTGGCAAATCGAGTCGATTTCAAAGTTTCGAATTTCAGAACATGCGCGTATATTTCTATAAAAAATTTACAAAAAAATTTATTATGAAAAAGAAAAAACAGGGTATTCTGGGTGTATATATTTACAGATAGGTAAAAGTTTCAATATGTTTGGAAAGCGCCACGTCCCTTTTCCAGTAGCCCTAAAATCTCTATACCAATTTCCAGGACACTACCACAAATACTTTCAGAGATATAGGGTATGAAAAATTCGATATGTATGGGTGATGCCACGCTCCCTTAATATATCGAAAGTCTGCAGTAGGTGTCAAAAATTAAAAAAAAATCGGTACAGCTGATCGCGAGATCACCTCTTATAAAAAGAAGGAGCTTCTCTTTATATAATTAGTGTAGGTAACACAGAGCAACACCGAATTTGATGCGGCAAATGGTGAAGCTGGTTTTGATAGGCTTTTTTGTGCTGATTAAGAATGCGTAAAGCCTTGTTTTCACTATGTCAAATTCAACGACATTTGTCATTTGTCATCAAATAAATGAAAACACATTGTCAATTGGGATCAAAAACGGTATATCGATTGATTTAGATCAGGATAGGTTTCAGTCGTGTACATGCGCTGCTGAGCCAGCTATATGTCCGTTTTTGGCCCATAATATTATCAGCGAAGGTACGGATGAAAGAGATAAATTTGTGTCAAAATATGTCGACAAATTTTGTCGTCAAAATATGACATAGTGAAAACCAGCCTTAAGTGTGGTGAATATGTCAAAAAATCGCGTTTTTCGCAATATTTGAGAAGCTCTAGCAATGAAAAAATAGGTGATAGAACCTTCGTCTTAGCCTTAAATAAAGGCCTGGACTTCTGAGTTCAATCCCTGAAAATACCATTCCTGCACCTTGACCCTAAGGTTACCTATAGCCATTTATTGAACAGCTAACACTGATTTTTACACCATTTTGATAAAAAGTAAATGAGTATAGGTGACCATTAGGGCAAGGTGCATGAATAGTACTTTCAGGGATGGTAGTCTGTAGTTCTAGCTTTAATTTAAGTCTACATGGAAGGTTCTACCACCTTTTTTTTAATTGCGGTAGAAACTCAAACTTCCCAAAATCAGTTATTCCTGTTCAACAAATGACTATAAGAATATCAAGCAAAGGTTCGGGAACTTGCAAGGATAGTATTCGATATTTTTAGCTTTAATCAAAGCCTAAGTGAAGGTTCTACCACCCTTTGTTTTTTTGCTAGAGCTTCTCCAATATGGAAAAAAACGCGATTTTTTGACACTTTGACCACGTTTTTCTTAAAATCTGGAGTTGGTGGAAACTTTATGCTTACGGATTCGTAATCAGCCCACAAAAATTCGGAAAAAATAGCGTTAACATTTGCTGCATCAACTTTTTTCCCATTTTTGGTGGCCTGTGTAATAAGTATTGTTAAATAGCCAATACCCGCATATTTGCACCGCCTTCAAACACATTTCGAACTGTAGAACAATGACTCGATTCTACTTTACGCATATCTATAATACGGGTATCGAATTTCAAGCAAATCGGACCATAAATAAGACTTTTTCGAATAGATCGGCCCCTGGCCCATTTAACGAAAGAAATTAATCCTATATACTAATCTAGGCAAAAGGCTACCAACTAACCAAATGCATTTTTTTAGCGTAGCTCGACCCCTGCGCCACCTATCAGAAAAATTAAAATTTTGTGCACTCCTTGTTCTAAACACCTTTTCAAAACAGCAGCACGCATTCGAATCGGTTATGAAACATAGGAGAAAATTGTTCCCAATTGATTCAAGCTCACAATGAATTCACAATTATCCGAAATTTTCCAAGCTTTCGTCGAAAAAAAATTCAAATTTTTCGCGTTCTTCCGGACTTTTCCGAAATTCCATTTAGAATTTTCTATTTTTCCATTCGAATGCCATTCCGAAGGAATTGCACACAAAATTCCATACAAAAAAATTAATTTTCGATATTTCCAATTTTCCGACTTTTGCGGAGGGTTTTCCCAAATTTTTTTTTTTTAAAACCTTCTCCTGGCAGTTACGAATAACTAAAAAAAAATTTTAGCCAAATCGTCCCAACCGTTCTCAATTGATGAATTACTATACATTTTTCACACCATTTTATTACAATGCTTTTATCAACTTGCAATGTTGTGGCTCCAGAAACTTTCAATGTTGTGGATCCAGAAACTTTCAATGTTGTGTGTCCGACACCATAAAACCTTTGCTTTGCAAAGTTCCTATAAAAAAGTCTAGTGCATAGGGCGACATCTGTAGTGAATAGGGCGAGGTAGATGACATCTAGATGTCGCCCTTTGTACTACGTTCGCTACAGCGGAAATAGACGACAGGCCATTTCTTTAAAAGTTCCTATAAAAAGTCTAGTGCATAGGGCGACATCTGTAGTGCATAGGGCGAGGTAGATGACATCTAGATGTCGCCCTATGTACTACGTTCGCTACAGCGGAAATAGACGACACGCCATTTCTTTAAATAAAATTAATTGGTGCTCGTTTGTATGTTTGTATGTAAATGCATGTGTGTGCACCTTTCTATTAATATCGTTGAATTATTTTAATATCTATCGCAAAATTTTATACAGACAAGACAAAAAAGTAGAAAATAAATAATATTAAAAAAAGCTTTTTAATATACAACGCTTTTATAAATGGACTAAAAAGTAGAAAATAATATTTCTCAGTCCCATAGAATTTGTTTTGATAACTTTTGATTTTGAAATTTTAGCAAAAGTCGTTATAAACAACTTATGAGATTGAAAATGAAAAGCGTGGGGCGCATATAATAGCCACCTGAATTGATATGAAGGGTAATATATGTTCATATGCATGTGGATATATGAATAACGACCGCTTAAAATCGATCTCAAATTTGTACTTTCGCTGAAGAAATTTTAGGTCTATGTTATGTAGTTTGCCTATTGTCAATTAAATATAATGCTTTGTATTGCATGCGCCCCACGCTTTTCATTTTCAATCTCATAAGTTGTTTATAACGACTTTTGCTAAAATTTCAAAATCAAAAGTTATCAAAACAAATTCTATGGGACTGAGAAATATTATTTTCTACTTTTTAGTCCATTTATAAAAGCGTTGTATATTAAAAAGTTTTTTTTTATATTATTTATTTATATACAGGGTGTCCCAGAAGTAACGTGCCAAACTTTAGGAGAAGGTAGGTGGGGGGGTGAGCTCACTGATAAACAAAAACCTTTCAGGTAAAAGTGTCACCGTTTTTGAAATATTTAAATTTTTTCGAATTTAAAAAAAATCGTGCCTTTTCATGTGTTTTCTTTAACTGCAACTACAAACCGGGCAATACTTAGTAAATTTTTTATGTAAAATACTTCCAGATAGTTGCCTCTCCATACTCAAATGCAATGTAGTTAAAATATATTAAGGAACCATTATAAAATTAGGACTATTTCTGGATTTTTAACTTTTTGATATTTTCTTCCCCAACTTTGACTATCTCGGGTGAAAAAAAAATGTACTGAGCTATAACTTTACATTACATAAAAAAATTGCTCATTTAATAAAGATTTCATAAAGGTGCCACACTTACTGTTTTGAATAGAAAAAAAAAGTTATAGCCGCTTTTGTGGGTAAAGGACTGAGACACGCTAGAATGTATTTAATAGATTTAAATTGAATTTGCTCTTGTTACCGTCAAATGACATGCTAAATAGTACAAAGGTACATAATTACTTGCTTCTGACATTATTTTATGTTACTTACCGGAATTCGGACTAGAGTTTATAACAAAGGCTATATCTATCAATATTTTGTGTGAAGGATGGGTTCACGTGAAATAAGATATACATGAGATGTTTAAGAAAAATTTATTCATTTATTGATAAAATATGCTCAAATTGGCGACCTTCTACTCTAATACAAGCTCGGCACCTTTTAAGAAAAGACTTTAAACTCAATTGGGCTATCTCAGCAGCAGCTCCATTTATTTGTTCCCGCAAATGCTCTTCGTTTTGAATTGTTTTTGAATAAATTTTGTCCTTAAGACAGCCCCAGTAGAAAAAATCTAATGGATTCGGGTCTGGCGATCTAGCGGGCCACGT